GATGCGCAGCAGCAAGAAGGTTTCGGTCATCCCTTGAGGGTGAGTCTAGCCCTGCTCGCCAGAAAGACCCCCCACTTAAAAGCTTGTCGAGGAGCGAGGGGAAGAAGGGAGAGACAGTATTGTAAATCTACCTGTATTTCGTATCCCAGGCACGGTGGTAGAGTGCCCGTCCTTGATGACCTATGTGACACAAGGTTGATTCTCGAACTTCTAATATTCCGCAGTAGCAGAAAGAGTGGTGGTGCCGAAACGGCGTTGAAGCCGTCTCGCCGAGAGCTTCACCGAAAACAAACGTGTCCTCCTGTTGTTGTTGTTGTTGTTGTTGTTGTCTTCACATTAAAAACCGTTCCGATCTCTCTCTACCCAGTACCTTCGTATGTCCTACTGATCTAACAATCGACGCGGTCGATTCCTGTGGTCGCAGGTAAACTTACCCTTAAAAGGTACACTCAAATCCTATTACAGGTGGCTGGAACGTTATTATATTAGAGCAGCAGTGCACCAGCCCGCTAACTGGTCGAGACTCAGGTTCGTACTTAGTCGCCACTGCAGACACAAAGTCTGGACTATGCTTTTGATCACAGAGTATCTTCTATGGCAGTACCCTGTAGTCGGGAGGGGATTTGCTGCGTTTCGTGGGATGCATCGCGGAGCTGTGATCACGTTCGTTCGCGATTTCATGCTCGGCATATTTTTTTCGGGAGATAATTTGAGCCCTATCTTTATATTTGATACGCAAACCGTCGACTCGGGTATAACCGGATTTACACATCGTCTCACCCAGTCCAAGAGCGAGCTCACAGAACGCTTGGTTAAGTAGTTGGGTGGGGACTCAGTATGACGATGTCCCCCATTTTCAGACTTCCAATTGAAAACTTCAGCAAGCTCAACTGGGTCGGAATGGCGGGCTTCGCGTCATGCTGTAGACTTGTTGGACGAAGCATGGTTGACACGCCGGCCAAAACAGAACTCGCATGTATCATTGCAGATCAGCATCGCCGTGTTTGCATGTGTGGTGGACCTGACGGAGAGATACCCATGTTCGTTGTTGTTGTTTCTCACATTAGCTCTAGAATATAGACTAGTCCGCAAAAAATGGCGAGCCCGTGGTCTCAAAACCCGGCACATACGACGCCGCGGGGAAACAAAACAAATAATAAGAAAAAAAAATAAAATAAAATAATAGGGTTGTTTTTCTTCGTGTCAGTGGTAATCCCCAAATCTAGCAAAGACTCGGTCCGTGGTCACAAAAATGCTAGAGCCATCAGAAGATCTAAACACACACACACTGTTAGCAAGAAAAAGGCACGCAAGCCCGAGGAGGTACACCTGCAATCCCTGCAGCACGTTTGCATGCTCACAACTGAACTACACGCCCACAAACTACAAATCGACCACAGCAGCAGCATCACCCCCTTGTCCCGCATTTAACCAAAATGAATGTTTGTCGACTACAGCGTACTACTGCTGTCTGAAGTGCTGTCTGTACAACAATAATAACACCATGGTGCATGGTGGCATGCAGCTGCTGTCTGAAGTGCTATCAGAATGACTCCGTGGACATACAATGATGACGAAGAACACCAAACCAAAGCCATCATTGCAATTGAGAATCACCCGAATCTATCCAGATCATCTGTGTTAGGAACAGCAGTGTAAACATCGACACTGGCTAGGAATCGTTCCACATTCCACGATGCAGGTACAAAATCAAGGCACCCGGTTTATCCGCGCCATCACTGCCGCCTCGCTCTAAAAACCAGTGACGACGTCATCACACACCCCCAGCACCTGTATTCAGGAAAAAAACGGAAAAAAAAGAAAAATAATTGACAACACAAGAGATGTTTATCCGTGCGCCACGGTTCGATGCCGTCCGCCTGCTCCGGTTCCGCTGCTCCGGTGCCACTGTGGCCAGTCCTAGCACGACCAAACTCGACCCGCTCCGCTTCGTACACGCTCTCATTGCTGTCCATCCCAGTGGGTTCCTCGCTTTCTCCCTCGTTGCACTTAGGGTTCTTGGTCTGAAAATTCTCGCGCCGAAGGGTCAACCAGCCCAATCAGCTCGTCACCACCTACCTGTCTGTCCCCTCCTCCTTTGATGGCAAAAGCAGGTTACTGAGACAGTACAGCTCCCTCTAGCAAACCTAGGGCCGTGTACATAGTGCCCGTCCACCTTTCTGATGACGTCTGCCTCCGCGCACAAGGATGAGATGGGCATTGCTGCCTACACCGACGGCCTGGAGGCCCGCCCATCTGCACCCTTGTACCTGACGCGCNTCGCGCCGAAGGGTCAACCAGCCCAATCAGCTCGTCACCACCTACCTGTCTGTCCCCTCCTCCTTTGATGGCAAAAGCAGGTTACTGAGACAGTACAGCTCCCTCTAGCAAACCTAGGGCCGTGTACATAGTGCCCGTCCACCTTTCTGATGACGTCTGCCTCCGCGCACAAGGATGAGATGGGCATTGCTGCCTACACCGACGGCCTGGAGGCCCGCCCATCTGCACCCTTGTACCTGACGCGCCAGTGCCGACCCAGCTCCACCACTACGCACGCCTCGCGGCGGGTGCGCCGCAGCAAGAACGTATCGGTCCCTTGAGGGTGAGTCGAGCCCTGCTCGCTAGAAAGACCCCCCCCCTCGCTATGGGTCATGCCTACGCGAAACCTTGCCGAGGCAGCAAGGGGAAGAAAGGGTACACACCACGCGGAAAAGAAAACAAAATGAGTGATCAGTTCGGCAGAAGAGCCCTCGGCAACCGATCAAAATAATAAAATGAAAACAAAAATAAAGGGGGACATTCCCACACCCGCGTTCGATCATTCGCGTGTGAGGCGCACAAGAGAAAAATGAATCCGCCAATCGATCCATTGATAATAATAGTACGTCATGGATTCAGGCATTCAAGCGGACCACCGACAGCATCGGTGTTCATCAGGGCATCACGGAAATGTACTCCTTCTAGCGCCCCCCACGGCCCGTGAGAGCCCAACCATTTACTCAAAGTACACTCAACCTTCGACCGAGGGACAAGCAAAGCAACATGTTCTCGGTGCCGTTCGTCCCAGACACAGTAAATGTCTTTGGAGTGGACGTGCCTACGTTCGCCCTGGCGGTTTTCTTCGGTGCCGGGTTGCTGGCCGTGTGCGGTGAGTGCGAGCAACAAAATCTCCTTGCAGCGAACGCAAGCAAGCAAGGTAAGTTGTTCTTGCCTTAAAAACCGTTCCGGTCTGTGGCTCAGCACCTTCGAACATCCTACACTCGCCTTGTTTGTTTGTGTTGCCGTCGTCGGCTGTTTCGCTCCCGAGTCCGTTGGTATTTACTTGTAGGCATGACTTTCGTGTGATGCGGATGGAAAACGTGTGTGATGTTCTTGCTGCGGCCGCACCTCCTTCTCAGCTCAGTATACCAGTTAGTTGTTTGACGTACATCCGTAGTTCATCTGACTGACCAAATTGATGGCAAACGCGCGCGTTACCCAGGATCGGAGTGTTGGGCAGGCGGCAAACGTCAGAGAGTCTAAAGAAAGGCATGTCGGGACTAGTCTACAGGTGCTACGTTTGTTGCTACGCATTCCACGTGTTCCACTGGAGCTCCCTTCTTTACCTCCTGACTGAGTTGGTTTTGAGCGATTTGAAAGACAGCTTTTTTTGTACAATTCATGGGGAAACGTGTTCACCGTGCTAGAGTCGTGCTGGCGTGTGCATCGCTTGGCGGGCATACCATGACTTGAACAGGAACAGGCACCACAGTAATCACCGGACATTTGGAGACCATGCCGGCAAAAATCCTTCCACACTCATGTGTGTGTGTACTGCCCGTTCCTCCAGAGTGCCTTTTTTGCGGTTGATACGGGGCACCATGCCCTGGCGCGTATATTGCTCATTGGAGAGGGTGGGTTGGAGTGGAACCTGCAGTTAGTTGTTGTTGTTGTTGTTGTTGTTGTTGTTGTTGTTGTTGTTGTTTCTCACATTAATTAGCTCTTTAGTTCACAAAAATGGGGAGCCCGTGGTCCCCAAAACCCGGCACATACGACGCCGCGGGGACACAAAACAAAAATAGGGTACAAACCACTCGGAAAAAGAAAACAAAAGAGCCTTTTACCCACAGTTACCGTTGTATGTATGCTGTCTGGGAAACCGTAGACACACAGGTAGCCTTTCGCTCACGCTATGGATTCATTGCTAATCTATCTTAGACTTATTTCTACAGATAGATATATATGGATTTGTTGTGTGATATTAAGAAAATTGAAACAAAACATAGAAAGAAAACAACAGCTACCGCACCAACCAGTCGAGAAAAGAGCCCTCGGAAACCGATCAAAATAAAACAAAACAAAAACAAAGGTGAAAATAAAGATAAAAGGAAGACGCTTCCCACACCCGCCTTAAAAAATCAAATGATAACGTACCAGCACCAGGCCCTACGTACCAGGGCATGGGAGCAATGAATGGAGGCAACAGAACAAAGAGGCGGCAGATGGGAAGACATCCAGAAGCAACAGCAAAAAATGTGAAAGCCCCAACTGTGGTGCAGATCGCCTTTCGTGAGGCTGTATTTCTTGTGCGCTACACCTCCTTGACAAACAACAGGCAAGGTCCGCCTACTGTTTGAAAATATCGCGTGTGTTGCTCTCGAATTTCCCAAATTCCACACGACATTCGTTCCTCGATCCCTGAAAACGCTTCTTTTCCGGAATAAACTGCAAGGAAGAGGATTGACCTCCACCACCTTAGATGTTATTGGTCGAAAAGCGCTGCCAACAATGCTGCTTCGGGTGGATTCCCTGACCTTGATGGAAGAAAGAAAAACTCTCGACACGGTAGTTGTAAAACCGCTTCCGAGCCATACACCGTATGTATGGACTGCCCTGCTCTTTTTCTGGGCTGCACCCGTTCGTTGCAGGTACAGGAAAAAAATAAGAGGTTATGCGTCGAATGTTGCAGGAGCCGTCTACACACTGGCTGCCTCGGATGGATTCCCTGACCTTGATGAAAAAACTCTCGACACGATAGTCTTATCACCGCTTCCGACCCATACACCGTATGTATGGCCTACCCTGCTCTTTTTCTGGGCGGAGGATTCTATTTACGTCACCGGTGGCGTTATTTCTTATATACGTCACCGCCCGTATCTCAGCCCACAGAGCTTCAATAGGCACAAAATAAATTGCGTTGTGTAGCTATGACCCACACCAATCATACAAGCCTTTCGACGCTCAAATCCGATAAGTGGTTGCGGAGATATGCTCAAAAGGGGGCTCAGCAGTACGATACTGCATCTAAAACAAAAAAAATTAGACTGAAACTTCGCGCAGAGAGCTCCGATCGACACCAGTAGCTTAAGTGATGGCTGTGAATCGTGGAAACACAACGCGAGTTACATAGTTGGTGTCGATGAGAACTCCCTGCGAGGAGGCACGGTCGTGTTGTTTATGGCAGATACAGTATATCATACCGCTGAGCCCCCTTTTGAGCATATCTCCGCACCCACTTATCGGATTTGACCGTCCAAAGGCTTGTATGATTGGTGTGGGTCATAGCTACACAACACAATTTATTTTGTGCCAATTGAAGCTCTGTGGGCTGAGATACGGGCGGTGACGTATATAAGAAATAACGCCACCGGTGACGTAAATAGAATTATCGTTTCTGGGCTGCATCCGTTGTAGACAGGAAAAAATTAGAGGTTATGCGTCGAATGTTGCAGGAGCCGTCTACATACTCGCCAAGTTTCTGTGCCGTCCGCGTAGAGATGTAGCCTTTTCTGGTCACTCACATGTATCTACTTTAAGTATTTAACCAGAAAATACTTGCCGACGTCGCGGGTTTTGACTGTTTCATAGTGCGGACTACATCATGAAGAACGTTTCATTCAAGGGAATAAAACCTCTCGGGAAACAAGGTAGAAATCTTGAAAAAATTCAAGCGAAGGCACAGGTAGGCGTGCTTTCGATTCCTCCTTTTCATGTATGTGCCGGTTCTGTTTGGATACCCTTCCTTGTGGTTGCAAAGAAAGTGCGTCGCCCATGTTCGCCCGCCCTCTGATTTGTAATTCTAGAGAAACAGATGCCTTGATTATTTTTCTGTGTGGAAGTCAGATATATTTATCACTGACGCCGGCCGCATCGTCAGGATGTTGGACGTATTGGACGTGGCGTGTGCATGTGTGCACACTTGCGGGTCGTCAACGACGCTGGCAGAAATAATATAATGAAGCACTGGGTCAACGAAATGCAACCACAGCCTATCTATGCTCTGTAGGTCTTTAGTCTAGAGACCACTCATCCAATTTTATGTCATGTGCCTACAGGGTGTACCTCTGGGGGCATCTCCGTTTTTGGAAGCCTACTGGAACGCAATGTTGTTGTTGTTGTTGTTGTTGTTGTTGTTGTTGCTTCTCACATTAGCTCTATAGTCCACAAAATATGGGGAGCCCGTGGTCTCCAAACCCGGCACATACGACGCCGCGAGAAAACAAAAAAACACACAAAACGCCCGACTACCCAACAGTACCCAACACCTTTCGTCTGCACCTTTCCAACATAACATATATGAGACACACAAGACAGCTACCAAACTGATTTGTTGAGCCTGTCACCCACAGGGGAGATGTCCCTATATGCTGTCTGGGAAATCGTAGACACACAGGGAGTTTTTCTCTGACGCTATGATTCCATTGTTAATCTGTCTCTGACTCTTTTCTATGATAGAGATGGACTCGTTGTGTCATATTAAGAAAAATAGGGTACAAACTACTCGGAAAAAGAAAAAATAAAATGATAGAAAAGAACAGGTATCGCACCGACCGTTCGAGAAAAGAGCCCTCGGAAACCGATCAAAATAAAACAAGAACAAAACTAGAGGAGGACGCTTCCCACACCCGCCCAAAGAAAAAATCAAAGGGTAACGTACCAGCACCAGGCACTACGCACCAGGGCATGGGAGTA